ATGAGAAATGCTCTCAGAACAGTGGAGATCATGGGCATTAGTTCCCCAAACAAAAACCCATAAAGTACAACCTCCCTGGTGTCAGTTTATTTTTCAATGCCTGCAAGCTGAGTGCAGGAGGTAGAGGATGGCAACAGGTGGACGTAATAAAGGGAAGAAAATACCCATTTTTCTCCTTCTCATTTGTACTCATAGTAAAAGTGGATTAATTTGGGCTCTTCACCTTAGGGATTTATTCAGAGCCTTAAATCAGCTGAGGTTTAGCAGTGCACTTACAGTGAGGAAGCAGATGGTTTTCCAAATGAATAGGGTAAATAAGATTGCAAGGGGGGATAATTAGGCTACCTAAAAGGACCTGTTTTCCAGCACTGAAAAACTGTGTTAGCCAACTGTTAACATCTAATGCAAATAATTTGTTATGTATGATTGATTAGTATCTGTCCATTAAAACTATTAAGATAGAACCTTGTTTTGATAACAGGGCCGTCTTACAGCAGCAACTCCTTAGCTCTTGTAACTATGAGACTTTCTCAAAGGAGATATTTTTCACTTACACCATATTGTAGCAGCCTGGCACTGGTTTTGGAGTTAGGAGACCTGTAGTTTATGACCTGGGATTAGGTGTCCTTTAGGAAAGCTATTGACAGTATTTAAAGCCTTAGGTTTTTTCATAGGTCAAATTGATGCCAGGGTTCTTGTTTGCAGAGTGGAAGAATGAACTTCATGAACAAACAAAGCAGAAGATTTACAGAGAGTTTTATTCAGGGTGAAAGAAAGTTTTATTCAGAACAGAAAAAGAGGAAGGATGGAAATCGTCACAGGCTGCCGCTTGGGGTCTCAGTGTCTAGGGTTTCATGCTTGCTGCAGTGGGAGTTTCCTATAGATTCAGACAGAATGCTAATTATATTTTAACCTATCTCTGTGAAGGTTTCCTGGATGCCCTATTGTAAACTAATGGTCCTACATGACTATGAGCAATGAGCTGTTCTATGTCCCTGGGTCCAGGTGGGGAATATGTTGTTACATTGTTTCAGTCTCAAGCACCCTGTTTTTTGTTTTTTGTTTTTTGTTTTTTTTTACATTCCTGAAGCCTCAGTAAGACTTTGTCCTTTTCCAAGGCCCACACCGTACTCTAACTGGGCAGGGGTTATGCTCTGCTGCCTTCCTATCTCAAAATGACTGGATGATCTGGCTTGAGATCAGTAGTCATCATTAGGCATATCTAAATCGCCTCAGAATCTTTTGCAAAATATACATGGCTGTCTGCTCCCAACTGCCTCTAAATTCTGATATATGCCCCTAATTAAAACACTAATACGATCTTCTGACAGCCCTGAAAATTTTGTTGTTCAACATTGTATAATTCATAGTTTTCAGGAATTTGATGCTTCTATACTAGTTATTGTGCCTAGTATGTGAAATACACTACATAGGAACTTCACGTGATTCTGAGATAGAAATGACTTTTGCCTCCATGGTGTTATAATATAGTAATTCTGTTGGTTGCCATTCAGTTCCAGTTACTGAGATTTTACTTTATTCATGTGTAGGATTTGGATGCCATTTTCAACATACTGAGCTAAGCCTTTTTTCTCCAAAAGAAACAACTTGATTGACGGTGTAGAGCAGGGTTTTTCAAAGTGGGGCCCTTCAACCTTTCATTAGAATCATTTAGGACAGCTTTTAAAAATAAAGATTCTTGGGCCCACTCCAACCCTACTGAAACAGAATCTGGGGGTTGACCCACTGATCTGAATGTTAAACAAGTACTCAAGGTGATTCTTAAGAAACTGAAAGCTTTAGAAACACTGTTATGGTTAATTATATAAAATACAGCATAGGTCTGAAAAATTAGGTCCGTTGAGGTCAGCTAATATATGCCTAGCTGGAGTTAACATTTTTCTGAGTATAGATATCTTTCAAGTTAAATGTGGAGAAACAATAGAATTCTAGTTTTTTATTCCTCGTTCATCTCCTGTGGGAGAAGTTGCAGTGCTTGAAGGCACATTTTATCTATGGAAATCCTCATAGATGATTTTTCTGAGAGAAATAAGGCTGATTGAGCTTCTTTGTAGTTTGTAGTCTTATACTTTACAAAACTCCTTCTCGTAGTTTTCATGCTTAGCAAATGCTTCTTTTATTGACAGATATCCAGGCACTAAGTAGTCCAATCAGTGGTTCAATGCAAGACTTTTTGGTTATTGTTCTGGGGAGGATGCTGGGGTATATCTATACATGTGTGTATTTACATGCACCCACACATATGCTCAGACTTCTCTGGGTTACAACTGATATTTGTAGAATATATTTCCACCCTTCTTTTAATCCAGCATGGAACTACATCTGTTCAAATAAATTAACATTCTTGATTTGTTAAGAACAAATTTTGATGCCAGTTTATCGACTGATCCCCATGATCTTTCCGCAGGAAAAAATTACCCAGTGCTTTGAGTTTTTGTGTTAAGAGGTGACAGCTTCTCAATAGCCAGTCTTTCTGTTTTGTTCAAGTCAACATCATTGACCTTCACACAATTATCTGTGTAACATGTGTGTCATATATTAAAAGTGGAAAGGCACATGTGAGGGCGAGGTTGGAGGCACATAGAAGAAAGGTATAGGAGAGGCAATTTATAATTTTTAACGTTATGAAAATCAGCCACTTTCAAAATAGAGGGAAATGCAAAACTGATGTTAACTGTATTTTGTTATAACATGAGTGGGTGGGATATCTTTTTCAGATGGATTTCCTGTTCATTTTTGAGAAGATAATTAACACTGTGACAAGTGTATTCTAGGTTTCTCACTGCCCTTTTCAAGGTTGGTAAAAATAAGAAGGATTTAGAGTCTTCTGATGCACAGGTAATATATGGACCTGATGCTTTCCTGGTACATATGCTTCCACCACTTCCATACTTCCTAGGGAGACCAACTGTCCCTGTTTTCCTGGGAGTGTCTCTGCTATAGCACTGAAGGTCCCATGTCCTGGGAAATCCCTAAACCCTGGGCAAACCTAGATAGTCACCTTTAATTAATTCATATTCAACTTATTCTAATCAGACAGATGTTTTCTAATGTGATATTCAGTTCCATATGTATGATAGTCTGTTCTCTGATGGAAATCTATAGCTTTCTCCCTTATCTTTTGTTTTTTCAACTTGAGAGGTAGTGAAATTAAATCTAAATTTTGATCATTTCAGTTTAGAGCCTGTCTCATTGATACAGAACTTGAGTGCTGGAAGGATGGATCTTCAGCATTTGCACCCAGCACTTTTTATTTTCCAGTTGAAGCAATTGAAGCTAGAGAAGGTGATTGACTTATTGCCTAAGTTTACCCAGTAATCTAGAGATGAATCCAGAACTTAAACCCCAGAACCCTGACTTCCCATCCCATGATTTTTCAAATTTCTCAAATGTGCTTGAAAGGTGCCCTAGGATCCCAAAGGGGTAAATTTGCCTTGAGAAACTGAGCAGCTTCATTCTAGGAAGAAGCTGATTGACTTAGATTGTGCTCCAGTAATTGCTCCCTGAAATTCCTCTGAAGGAGACTATGAATTCATATTGAAGAACAGTGGCAGGGACTACCTCCCCATGGGGAGGCTGTCTCTTCTCATAATCACGAACACTACATCATTCTTGAAGAGGAAGAGGTTAGTAAAAGTATCTAGTTTTAAGGAAAAAGTCCTATGGTCTCATTTCTGTTATTTCCAATTAATATTTTATCTTGAAATAATAAGCAGGAATCAGCATTTGTTGATTACCTTCTGCTACTTAGAAGATGGGCACATAAATGTTAAAAGTTACTCCCTCTGTAAGACTTCCAGCACTGTCTTAAGCCTATATTTTATTTATAGATTAAGCTCAATATTCTGAGCCAGCTTCCACATCTTCCATCTGTCCCATAATATCTCTTCTATCACATCAGGAAAAGGAAAACCTCTAAAAACAGAATCTTGATATTCAACTTGAAAAAACAAAAAGCCGTGTTAATATTTTCATTGAGAGATGGTAGTCCTGCTGACTTTTTAAAATTAGGGCTGTTTTTCCAGATTAAGTTGCAAAATTTTTACTCACAGTGAGATGTTGAACAAATCTTAAGACATACCAACAAACACTTAGCGTTACTCAATTAGCTGAGAACAAAGATTGTTAGGGACTTTTCCCCATGTCTGATTTTATTTCCTTGACTAAATCAGTAAAACATTTTAGTCTATTATATTTCTGTTTCTTTATCCCACTTAGAAAAATATCCTGTAAACCAACAATACTTAATGTTTTGAGATGACTAGGGCATTGAGAAGAATTTTTATTGTATCAGTACCTTTTAGTCCCATAGTTTAAGAACAGTTACTGATGGTTCTTTAGTTCTATGATGTCATCAGCATCAACCAATTACTATATAACTACCAATAACTAATTACAGTATTGTGTTTTCAAGATGAATGCTCATTTCAAGATTTCCAGAACAGGATGGTTTGAAGTAGTTCAGTGTGGACTAAGGCCTACTCACCTTTTGAGTAAGGATATCAGTCTTATTAAAAAATAATTGCTCTGTGAAGATGCTTCTGGATCATTTCAGCCTTTAGCTGTTGAATCACCTCCAGACACTGTATCTTTGCTGCTCAAACACCGTATCTTTGCTGCTCAAACACCATGGAATAGAGACAGCAGTGTGCTGTAGCTGGTTCATACTGGCTTGCAGGGGCCAAATGTTGATATATTTTCCCAAGTCCATATTCAGTGATGTCACATGGGTAGCTTGAAATTGGTCATGCTAGGAGTATTTACACAATGGAAATCAACAAACACTACAAATCTGGGGCACTCTTGTGCTTTGTCTGAATTCCTGACCCACAGCACCCATAAGCTTAATAATAAAATAGGTGTTTTAAGCCACTTAAAAAAAAATAAAGAATTGCCCTGCATAGAGCATGTGACTGCAGAGGGACCATTTGAATTAGTAACTGTAATCTTGATCATCACTTCTCTCTTTTGTTATTAAGGGAATCATCCAAGATGGGAAAATTATCTTTATGCCAAATGGATACATAACACAGTGTCCGAATCTGAATCGCAGTAAGTAGCAACTTACAGCATTTCTGAATTTTTAGTATTATATAACTTGTTGATAATATATACTAGAGAAACATGTCAGGAAGGATACACACAAACTAATTACAGTAACTTCTGAGGTGGTGGGGATAGTGAGAGAACTTATCTACACTACAGACTCTGAGTCTTTGAATTTTTAAAAAGCTTATGCATTATTTATAGAATTAGACTTTGAAGGTAAGAGAAAGATTACATTAGCAGTTTCAGTTCTGTACATTGATACAGAAAGATATGCTTAATATTACATATAAAAAACCCATTCTTTAAACTTGTTGACTTAGATGTGAGTTTACTTTTTCCATCTTCTGTGATAATTCACATTTTTTTCAGTCACTTCAATAAAAACAAGGGCTTAATTTTAAGTCAGAAATGTCATTCTGCCTTTCTTTTCAGTTAACAATCCTTTTTTCCTGTTCTTTTCTTTTCAAATATTTAGTAAAAGGAAAGGGTCTAGGCCTGAAATCCACTGTGATTTCACTCCAATTTCAAAGTAATACTTAACCAGAAAAGCAAAAGCCCTTCTACATAGCCAAACAACTACTGTGTTAAAAATTTCTTTTTTACATTAGCACTGTATCAACATTTATTTTATACTTTCTTTATTGAGCTTGCCCAACTTGCAGTGATTTCTTAAGCCTGGTGCAAGGAATAATGGATTTACAAGAACTTTTGGCCAAGATGACTGCAAAAGTAGGTATCTAAATTTCACTTGTGATGTTTCATTTCTTTCTCCATCCTATCTGAAATTTAGAGTGATATGCTATAATGGAAACATTTTTAGCCTTGGCATCTGCAATATGTTACTATAAAAATGGTTTATTCTTACTTGAAGTAGGACTACCTATAGTAAACATAACCATTTGCGTCTTTGATAGTATTGGGCTGTACCAAAATGTTTGTTTGAAAAATGGAAGAAAGAGACAATATGTCTCATTGTGGATTCCCTGGGAGTGAAAAAGGAATTTGCCCATTAGCTATTAAACTAGTGACATTGTGAGATGATAAATGGTCACAGCCACTGCTTCTTATAAGCTAATGCATTTTGGATGTAAGAATAATTGCCAGTAATCAGAAAGGGCAAAATAGCTATTGTTAGGGACAGATTACTGCCACAGGAAGGCATTATGCCGCATTTTCAATATACGATTCATTTCAGGACTGTCCTGAGCTACATAGTAAGGAAGGCAATGTTTGCCTTTCACCACCTTCAGTTTTATAATTCTGCCTCTTTTCCTCCTGTCATCCACTTATCAGGCATCTTTTGAGGCTGTGCCGTTTGCCAGGTACTGTCAGGCACAAAGGAGGTGACGGTGAACGGAACATGATTTCTACCTCAGAGGTATTCATGTTGAGTGGCAGAGCCAAAAATGTAAACAATTAGAGGCTTTAATATATATTCATCAAGTCTATATTCTTAATGAAAAGCCCTGAGCATTGTGGAGAAAGGCATTGAATAAATAGAAAATGGCTAATGCTGTTATGACACCAGTCCATCGTGGACATGAGTTCCAGCCTAGGGCGAAGACAAAATTAGGTTGGGCCTAAGAGACATTATACTCAGTGAAAGGAAGAATTTTAATAACAGTGAAAATGACACATTAATCCTATTCCACCTGCAGCTGACTGCTCCCTGCCATCCACTATGGCACATGGGGAAAAATTCGTGAGTAGGTGTTTGGGAGACAGGACTGTATTTTGGACCCATACCTTGTGCCGCTGAAGATAATGTTTCTATTTCAAATGTAATTTTTGGCTAAGTTCCTTTATGGAAAGGAGAGACAGAACACTTTGGTAAAACTGAGACTCTGAGAGCTGAAGCATTAGTTTTTCACTTCAGAGTACAGTGGAAATGTGAAAGGCAATTATTTGCCTTCTCAGCTTGTGGCATACAGAGGCTTTTATTTTATATCGTCTGGAGCAGCTTGATCTCCATAGTGTTAATTATATTTTAGCTTGCTACTAAATTTTTGGAACAAGAAACATGTCATTCAGTCCAGGTGACTGCAGTTCCCAGCTTTGAGGATGCCCTTTTTTTCCTCATTCTTCCTATTGCAGGGAATGTCATTTTTCTCTTTTTAGCCATACATTATCTAGGAGCCACACTGAGCTCTGCCCTCAAAACATTATTATGTAAAAAAGGCATTTGTGAGGCAGAAGATATCTAATTGTGGGCAATTGCGAGCAGAAAATGGTTTAACCCACCTTCTAAACCCCTCCTCTGGCACTTTGGAAGATTTACAAGTCTGTTTCTTCCAAACTGTGCATTGAATTATAATTAGAAAACTGACTTCTTCCATTTTCTCCACACAATTTTGGAATCTGTGGTAATCCAGAAGAGGAGAGTCACAAGTTTTTTTCTGTAAAGGGCCAGCTAGTAAATTTTTGGCCCTATAGGCCAAGAAGCAAAATTGAGACTATTATATATATAGTTATTTAAATAAAATCATTGGCAAATATAATCATCAAAAAATGTAAAAATCATTCTTAGCCCACAGGCTATACAGAAATAAGTGGTGGGCTGGGTTCAATCCGTGGGCATTAATTTGTCAACCCCCTATCTAGAAGAAGCTGGAAAGTCACTCAGAGGAGATAATATTTATTGAGTGTTTACTCAATAAAATTAAAAATGCCTAATAAAAGTTAAATGCTTAATGTTAAATAAAAGTTAAAAGGCTTAAACTTTTCATGTTCCCCACTGTTTTCATCCTCACAACAATCCTGTAGCTAAGTGTGATTTATGAGCCCATTTCCCAGATGAGAAGACTGAGTTCCAGGAAAGTTGTATTTTTCCCATGAGAGTGGATGGCACAGCTGGGACGCAAACTCAGATTCGGAAAGTGGAATCCTGACTGAAAAAGTTTATAGTTGAAGGAGAGGATTAGAAAGAGACACAAAAGATACGAAGAAGGAATGACTGGAGAGAGGGAGGTGGGTGCTAGCAGCACGTGACTGGAGATAGCAGTGAGAAGGAACAAATGCAAGGAGAGGAACAGAGGAAGGTATGTGCAGAGGTACCTGCTGGGAGTAAAACAGGAGCATAGAGCTTGCAGCGGCTCTTGGAGGGGGGAGGGCAGGGCAAGATAGAGGCTCTTAAGTCTCCCTTTGGTTGTAGTTGGTTGGTTTTCCTTGGGAATATGTGAGATGAAGGCCTAGGTTCACACGGTGTGCAATTCTGCCAGGACCATACAGGGCCCCCTTATATAAAGTGTTTTCAGATCATAGAGACTGCTCAGAATCAGACTGCAAACCTAGAAGAGACCAGGTGAATTCTTGGCAAAGAATTCTCTAAGAATTTTCAAGAAAGGCATTTCTCTCTAGCCAGTCCTGAGGTCTGAACAGGAAAGTCATCTTTCTGTGCCTTGTGCAAGCCTTGTGTCATTCTTGCTCACTCATAAAATGAGGGTGCAGGGCCTTGGGACCCTGTCTTCATGTAGGAGTTTCCTTTCAGACACTCCATCTCAGGCAGACCCTGTTCTCTAACTCCTGTTCCCTGCATCCTGTGTGGCCATCAAGGTGGGAGCTTGAGGATTCATTGAGCTTTTTTCCAGCTGTAGTGTCCCCATATGTAAATGTGACAATTATTCTTGTTTTTATAAAGATCCCACGAGACCCAGCAAGTGAGATCAGAAGGTCTGGTTTGGTGCATGGCACACACGGGCATTCAATAAACTGTAGCTGTTTGTTAATTATACAGTGTTAAACCTATGAGAAAATAAGCCGCTATGGGAGGAGGACCCAGTGGTGTGGTGCCACCATGCCTGGCAGAGGCTTGAGCTGCTCTCAGGGCCCTGGTCTAGAGCTAGGTGTCAGGAGATCTTGGGAAGTAGCAGAAAATCCCCACACCTGCCTCACAGTAGAAGTCGCGGAATCCTGCCAGAGAGCAAGTCCAATGCCCAAGCTGGCAAGGAGCTGGTAGCCAAAATCAGATCAAATCAAGCAGTTACAGACACCAGAGCAGCCCCAGGGTCTGCTTAAGAGGGTTTGCTGTTCCTTTTCTCCTTTCAGAGTAGGGGCTGATCCAGAGTGACTATGTATGCCCTTGCTTGATACAGAACAAATCATGGGAGCAGCTTGTGTGTACCTTCAGGTGACAGGACAGAGGTCAAGGCACATAAGAGCCCTCTTGAGGAATTCTGGCAAAACCATACTTTTTCAAGGCGGAGTAGATGTAGGGAAGTGGCCCCATCTCCTTCCTTAAGGAGCTGATCCTCTGACTTACTCCGGAAGTTCTCGTAGGTAGTCTTGACTTGCTGAGGACCACCCACTGGTTGGAGCAGGTACACTGTTGTAGCGTCAGGCTCTGTCGCGCTCTTGCATCCCACCTGTGCTGTAATCGTGTTCTGCTTTCAAGCTCAGGAAGAAGAGATGCTGGAGACTGGGAATTTCTTGATGACTACTGTTTAAATCTTTGACAAATTTCTTTATGCAAATTAGGCAGCACTTGGCGTGGCATTTCAGCTTGTACCATATTTAATTTTGAGACTTTCATTGTTTCAAGAAGCTCCATAGTGATTTTTCAATTAAGCTTAAAGGTTTAACACAATAAAATATTTTTTTCCCCTTCCACACAGCAAATGCCAAAAAGTATTTCAAAGAGCAAGAAAGGCAATCTACCACACAACTAATGTACTCAGATCCATTCATTGACCTCTTACTGTGAAAAAGGCCGCTGCTGTCTATCTTTGAATGTGTAGTTAAGAATAAGTGATTTGGTCCATGGTTGCTTAGATAAATGCATGAAAAAGGTAAGACAGAATTGAGATGTAGATTTAACACTGCATCTATTTTGGATTTTTGGGCATTTTATTGGAGAAAATGGCAGGTAGTGTAGAATAGCTTTTGAAAATGAATTTGTATAAATTCAGCATGGTGATACCAATGACAGAAAATGTAATTCATTTTTTTGATGCAGAGTTGTTTTTCTCCTGTATTGGTGCTACAGGATTTAGCAGGGGAAAAAGTAAGGCAAAATTACTTATTAAGTGCCTTTGAAAAATTAGCTTTTTGCCTTAAAATATCTCTTTGTCTTTGTGTCTGTCTGATGCACTGTTCTTGTCACAGAGATTAGGGCTTTTCAATGTTGTCAGAAAAGGCTAAATATATTAAAAAATAGAAACAAAGTCCAGAAGGGAAACATCAGCCCTGAGAATGGCTTCCATTGTATTAAAACATAGGCTTCCCTTGGAATTGAGTTTTGTAGGTGAGCATAGCTCAGCTTTGGTGGACAGGACTGGAAATTGACAATATTGCCTGGAGGCAAGTTCTTGGGTTTCCAGGAAACTTGGACAGACATGAATTGCCTCTTGGACCATTTAGTCTTTAAGAAGTTCCTTTCTTGACTATTACAGATACTCGAGTTGCTCCAGATTTTCAGTGAGACAGGCATATTTCTTTTCACAAACAGATATCCCATTCTGAGCCATTGTTAGGAGGAATGCAGATCTAGTTCACTTCTTTCTTTTTCACTCCAAGGCCTTCCATCAGTCACTACCTGTTGAAACTATTGGGACTATAAAAATGAAATAAAAGTAGTGTGTGATAAATCACCACCTGTTTTTATTACCTTTTACCTATATATGGTTTTAGTCACATGACCTCACCAAACTCTTGGAGAAGTGTATTTTATCTGTGTTCCATAAAGAATCCCAAAGAACTTGATTACCATAAATTCTAGAAATTCTGTGGTTAGGCTAGAGATTGAAATGTAAACTGAAGTTTTGAAGATCATGCCTATTATAAAAATTATAGGAAGGTCATATTTTAGGTACAGTCAGCTCTTGTTTCTTTGGGGGCTTGTTTGGGATCCCATTTTATCTTTTCCCTGCCCATTGGTAAAAGGTAGACAAGGAACAAGTTTTGTTGAGAGATTTCAAAAGCTTGGAGGAAAAGGGTGAAAGGGATGACAGAAATCAATTCTACATGGATTGGAATTCCGTAAGGATTCCATTACCAGATAGTAGTGCTGTTATGAGCAATTGAGAGGAGCATGTGTGGAATGGAACCACAGTTAATGTAGAAGGATGGTAGGAGTTGTCATAACCCAGGTGCAACCATTATATCCAAAATGTGAGCCTGAAATAGCTTCAGTCAGATCAAAGGTTGATTTGATTTCCTCTGTGGGAACAATACCCAAAGCTTGGAGGTGTAAGTATGATTGAGGAGAAAAAGAAACTATTTGATGACTTTTTAGAAAGTGGTTCTTATTTTTCAATTAAGGCAGTCTCCATGTAAGAAAAAGGAAAGAAAGGTAATATTGCTATTTGTTTGAATTAACTTTAGTGTGGATAGGAAGAGATCATACCAGCCAGCATTCAGTGTTTTTGCACTATGTTTTTGAAGGCAAATGAGTATGCTGTGTGGAAGGTGGTCAGAGAACCCTGTCACCAGGGGCTATTAAATGAACTTGTGGGTGCTGAATGTGGTCAAGAGTGGGTGTGAGGCCAGGATAACTGCAACTGGATGAAGAGAGATTAGATTGACTCCAGGGTGGGTTACAAGGCAAAGTTAGTAGGAAAAAGGTGAGAGATTTCACAGCTGAAACGAACAGATGTTTCAGACAGGCAGAGCTAACGGAAAAAAGTAGTTTTCCGTGGAAGATAATGAGTGTCCCATCTCTGTAGATGTGCAGAGGCTGGATAGTGACTTGATGGGATTACCTGGGAGGACATTGGAGATTCTGGGATTAATGTTATCAGTTGGATGACCTGATGACCTACAAAAGTTTTTTTTTTTTTAACAAAATCCTGGACCCACTTGAGAGTTTGGTTGCCTATCCTGACCTTTGTCTGAACACCGAAGTGGATTCCTGGGCATTCTGTTGGGGGCAGCTTGAACTGGGGAAAAATTGGATACTCCTATGACTTTCCCATTTTCTGGCCACAGTTCCCCAGAACTTTTCATAAGAGAGCAAACAGTGACTTCCCAGCTTGTAAAACATGATACCGTGCTTAGTGTGTGAAGAACAGAGTGGATGGTGGGAGATAAATGCAAGTGCATTGGCGTTCCTGATTAGGTCTCCTGTAAGCATTTTAATGAGTCCTTGAGAATATATTCATTATGAGTGTTTCCATGAGAGCTTGAGCTGAAAGCATACGTGTTTATGAACACCCGCAAGGTCCCTGAGATAGTTTAATGTCTCATTTGGCACTCATTAGACCATGGGAATCAATATGTCTTTAATTTAGAATGATTCCACCTTGTATAAAAAAATTTTTTTTTTCAAAAAACAGATGTGGCTTAGAATCAGTGAGCTTCTCTGAATTTTCTCCTCTTATTTTTCTTCTTAATGCTATTAGCTTTGTTAGGACAATGCAGTTGAATTACAGAAATTAAACCTAGTGACTCTTGTTTGCAGCTAAATTATGCCGAGACAAGACTTAGTCAATTGGAAAACTGTCATTGTGAGAAGACCTGTCAAATGAGTGGTCTGCTCTATAGGGACCAAGACTCCTGGGTAGACGGCGATCACTGCAGGAACTGCACATGCAAAGTAAGCCTTTTTGTAAAAAAAGATGTTAAAGGGGCAGTTTCACTAAGTATTGTATATTCTGTTTCTTTATTATGTAATGCTTACTCTAAGAAGTATTGCTTTTTTGCTGAATGCCTACTTAACAATTGGAGCAATTGTGAAGGGAAGCTGGAAAAGTTTGATTTCACATTAAACTACTTAGAAATTAAAATTTACTTTCCCTTGACAACACACTTTAATATGATCTGATGTCATTAAGAAGCTTACTGTTTAGAGTTGGGAAGATAGTATCAGAGGGAGGAAGTATCAGAGGGAGGAAGAGACGCCTTTGATTTTCAAATAACTGAATAGTTAGTTTCATTCACAACGTTTCTCTGCTATCATAGATTTTAAAGGGCGGTTTAATTAGATACCTTATAAAATATAATGAAAATATCTAGAAACTATCATCTGTTTTAGAGATTTGCAAGACCCTCAACTTTCAAGGTTGCCATCATTTGTATATTCCATCTGTTTCAGAGAATTACAGGAGACCCCCAAATTAGTATGTTAGCCCTGTTCAGTTGAAATTATTTGATAAATATCTAAAGAATGACATTGTTTGGGAAAATACAAAATGGATCGTTAGAGCCTCAACATGATTGACAGGGTCTGTAAAAGGTGTTATTTATGTTCTTGTAAAAATAGGCTTTTTGTTTTCTGCCTAATCTACTTATCCCACATAGGCAGGTGGATTGAAGCCAGTGATGTATATCAGAAAAGTAATTGAGGTGGCATGGGTTCATTCAGGCTGGAGAAATACTTTATTTGTGGTCCTGGAGTGGACTGGGAATTCCTTACATTGCTTCCATTTCCCTGATGAGGTTTCTGGGATGAGAGGTGAGGTTCGTCCAGAAAGGAAACTTTCAAAGGGCACTTCTGTGATTCCTTTCCCTGTCCTTCCTTCCTTCTGCAGAGTGGCACTGTGCAGTGTCGAAGGATGACTTGTCCTCCCCTCAGTTGCTCCCCAGACTCCCTTCCTGTGCATATTGCTGGCCAGTGCTGTAAGGTCTGCCGACGTAAGTACCAACTAAGGGTCAGAGTGGCCCTCTGTGCTTTGAGATTTGTTTTTTCTCCTTACTTTTTAGGCTCCAACTTATTAAAATTGATGAAATGAAGCCCTAACAGTTGATATAATAATAAATGTATGTTAAGAGCTGCTGTTTAATTATCTGTGGTGTGCAAACACTTCATGTAGGCTATTTAAAAAAAATCCTTGTATCATTCCTCATGCTATTACTCTCATTCTATGTAGAAGCAATCAGGTTCACAGGGATTAAGTCACTTATCCAGGGTCAAATAACTGGTAATGGGTGGCATTGATCTGTAAAATGATAACTTCAAAGCTTTGTGTGCTTTGGTCCCTCTTATTCAGAGTGATCAAATATAAGGCCAAGTTCTGTGTTCTGGCTTTCTGAAGTCTTGGCCAGAATTCCTGTTACTAAAAGGACTTCCTTAGTAATTTTGGGATGAACTTTAGTTAAAAACTGCAATAATTTCCTTGAAAGTTGGCTTGTCCAAGTTATATAATGATTTAAAAATCCTTTCCCTATGTATTGCAAAGGACACTATTTCAAGTGAAATTGTGAAATGAACATTGAGTCAAAAGGTAAGAGTAAAAGCTGTTGTTTGGAACACCTAGTATGTGCCAGTTCCTGTGGTGAGTGCTTAATTTTATTGAATCCTCACTGCAATCTTTTAGGTGGGGATTATTATTTATTTCTGTTTTTGATTGATGTATAGTTGACCTACAATATTATATTAGTTTCAGGTGCAAAGTATAATCATTTAGTAACCACCAGTTTTTTTTTTCTGTATTTTAGTCTGCTTCTGTTTTTGTTGGCTTTTTTCTTTCTCTGACTTATTTCACTTAGCATAATACCCTCTAAGTCCATTCATGTTATCCCTAATGGCAAGATTTCTTCCTTTTTTATGGCTCAGTAATATTCTATTCTGTATATATACCACATTTTCTTCATCCATCTGTAGATGGATACTTCTGTTGCTTCCATATTTTAGCTATTGTAAATAATGCTGCAATAAACATAGGGATGCATGTATCTTTTTGAATTAATGTTTCTTCTGTTAGGGTAAATATCCCTAAATAGAATCACTGGGTCATATGTTATTTCTATTTTAAATTATTATGGACCTTTCATACTGTTTTCCATCATGGCTGCAATATTTTACCTTCCTACCAATAGTGCATGAAGATTCATTTTTCTCCACATCCTTGCCAACTTTTGCTACTTCTTGTCTTTTTGATACTAGCCATTCTGACTGGTGGTAATGGGATATCTCATCGTGGATTTGATGCACATTTCTCTGGTGATTAGAGAGAGCTGTTGTGTATCTTTTCATGTTTTTCAAAGAAAACATCTAGGTGTTTTCTTTGGAAAAAATGTCAGGTCCTTCTACTAACTTGGGGCTTTGTTCTATTTCTAGTTCCTTTAAGTGTCAGGGTAGATTGTTTGAGATTTCTTGTTTCTTGATATGGTCTTGTATCACTATAAACTTCCCTGTTAGAACTGCTTTTACTATGTCCAAAGATTTTGAACCATTATATTTCCTTTTTATTTGCCTTCAAGTTTTTTCTTTTAATTCCTCTTTGATTTCTTCATTGAACCATTGGTTTTTAATAACATGTTGTTTAGCCTCCACACATTTATGGTTTTTCCAGTTTTTTTTTCTTGTAATTGACTTCTGTTCATATCATTGTAGGTGGAAAAATGTGCTTATGAAATTTCTATCTTCTTAAATTTGTTGAGACTTCTTTTGTAGTCTAACATGTGATCTATGCTAGAGAATATTCCATGTGTACTTGTAAAGAAGGTGTTTTTGAATGGATTTTTTTGTATATATCTGTTAAGTCATCTGGTCTAATGTGTCAAAGCCACAGTTTCCTTACTTATTTTCTGTCTGGATGATCTATGCATTGATGTCAGTAGCATCCTTAAGTCCCCTACTATTATTATACTGCTGTGCTTCTCCTTTTATGTCTGTTAATGTTTGCTTTATATATTTAAATGTTCCTATGTTGGGTGCTTAAATATTACAAGTATTATCCTCTTGTTGGATGGATCCGTTTATCATTAAGCAATGTTTTCTTTGTCTCTTGTTATAGTCTTTGTTTTAAAGTCTATTTTGTCTGATACAAGTATGCTGTCACAGATTTTTTTTCACTTCCATTTGCGTGGTCTTTTTCTATCCCTTTACTTTCAGTTTTTGTGTGTCTTTATATCTGAAGTGAGTCTCAGCATAGAGATGAGTCTTGTTTGTTTTTTAATCATTCAGTCACCCTATGTCTTTTGATTGGAGCATATAGTCCATTTAAATTTAAAGTACTTATTGATAGGTATAAACTTCTGTTTTGTTAATTGTTTTCTATTTGTTTTTGTAGTTAATTTATTTGTTCCTTTCTTCTCTTGCACTCTTCCTTCATGATGGCCTTCTTTAGTATTACAGTGAGATTCCTTTCTCTTTATTTTTTGTGTATCCATTATAGGTAGTTTGTGGTCACCATGAAGTTTATGTATAACGTCCTATGTATATAGCAGCCTGTGTTGCTTGTTGTGTAAGTTTGGACACATTCTAAAAGCACTCCATTTTTACTTCCCCCTCTGTTTTGTGTGTATGATGTCATATTTTACATCTTCCTATTTTGTATTTTATAGCTGTAACTAATTTTACTACTTTTCTCTTTTAACCTCCACACCAGCTTTATAAGGGATTAACTTCCTATCTTTACTAAATGTTTGCTTTACTAGTGAAATTTCCTTTCATAATTTTCTTCTCGTTATGGGCTTTGCTTGCCCATTAAAGAAGTCAGGTGGGGATCATTATCCCTGTTTTACAGGATGCTTAGGGATGTTAATTTACCAACATGGTGAGGCTGGTAAGTGAAAGAGGTGAAATATAAAACTACTTCTGTCTGACTACAAAGCCTGTAGTCTTTTCTATAGAAAAGGAGAGTCTAGAAGTGCGGCAGTCTAAGAATAATTTTCAAAATCATTTTTGTTCCCCCAAACCACCACCATTACTATGTCTTCAAAACACAGTGGTCTAGCTTTTTGCCATCATGTCACCTAATATGACAGAGAAAGTGGATTAGTTGGTCTAGTCAGACCAGCCTACACATTTCTTGCACTCTTTCAAGAAGAATTTGGGAATATTCCTTCTTTTATGGTTGGCACTATACAGCCATCATTCTGGAGGGCATACTTGAAGTTCATCTAAAAAGGGAAACTTCGTTTCTGTTCTAATTACTTTTGGAAGTCAAGTCTGGCAATACAGATAAGCTCAGGTGCCTAGATGTTAAGAATATATTTTAATCCCATGATGGAAAGGTAGTGTTCAGTAGGTACCGATAATTTTTTCTAATTTTTATATTCTTCATAACAGAAGGGGAAGAGGTTGAAAAACTATTGGCAATTTGTTTAAAAAATTAGATTTTTATTCCATTCTTTTGAGTTCCCTGGACAGCTCTGTGAATGCTCTAAGAAGTTGTTTGGACATGGAAGAGCAGATGATTCCTTCAGTTGTTTGTGTTTAAACCTTTTGATTTTCTAATTATAAAATCCGTGTGTTTGTTGTATAGCATTTTAAATCACAAAGAAGAGTAAAGGTAATTGAAAAATCTCCCTAATACCACCACTTAGAAACAGCCACTTCTGCAATTTTAGTTGACTTTGTTTTTTAAAAATTTCTACTTTGTGTACGGTTGAGATCTTATTGTGCAGATGAACTTTATCCTACTTTTTTGGCTCACCATTATCACTTAAGTGTATTCTTATGTTTTAAAATCCTCTTTATAACCCCATTTTAATAAGCTTCATAGTGTTCCATTATTTGGTTATTACATAATTTATTTAACCAGTTTTCACTATTATAAATTACTCTCCAATAACATGTCTCATGTAGAAAACACATTTTTGTATTTATATTCTCAGAATTCTGCAGAGTAAAGGAGTGGGCCAAAGACTGACATTTTCAAGGCCCTTGATATATATTATAAAATCATTCTCTCACTAGGAGTGTGTGAGGTTGTCATTTTTCTTTATTCCAATTCATTTGAGAGTTGTAAGTTTAAAAAAAATATTTTAGAAAGTTACCCAGTTTTAACAAGATGCTGACACCCAGGCTAACTAAAATGTGGGTGTGCTTTTTGTCTTGTATGGAATTCATAGCAGTTTAGATAGGGAGTATTTATTTTTTCAACTCTGATTGGTAGTTTGAAATGTTTGTAGCTTAAGAAAATGGTAATTCAAATAAATTAGGGTTTTTAGCAGAATATTTATTAGCAATTACCAAGTGCTGGTGCCTGGAATAGTGATAAATAAGCCCCTTCAATTTTGGGGGGCTCACTTTCAAATTAGATATGTGATTTACAGGGTCCAGAATGGTAAGTGCAATCACATTGGGCATGGGGATGGGGCATAATTAGAAGACAGATGAATGGCTTGTGGGAGGGTGTTCGGGAGAGTTGGGGATGTGGATGGTGGGCCCTGGCTGAATTGAAGCCAAGCTAAATGTTTCTAGCCCCCTCGAAGATGACTGTTGTTGGGTTGAGCAGTGGGATGGTGGGCAGGAGAATGAGGACTGATGAAGCAGAGTTCCAACACTAGTTGGTAGAATTTCTAGAAGTTTCAAGTATCTTCACATCAGAAAAAGGATAGAGAATATTTATGTAGGTTGTGTCTTTCAGGTAAGAGTACCTAAGCTACCTTCTGGGCTTGGGTAGAGCAGTGTTCTGGGGACTCTGAGAAGAGGTATGGATCTGGCTTAGGCAAAAGGAGCCAATACATCAGAGCAAATTGTTTTGTCTGCTAGGTGTTCGTGCCCCCGTCACGGCCTCAGGATCTGCAGCGCTTGCAGATGAGGGCATCCACTTGGAAATAGGAAGGACTTGGTTTAAGTGTTTGTGTATCAGTTCATGGCCTGAAAAAAGCAGTTTGTCCTTCTGTTTTGATCAAGAGGCCCAGACCCTAAGAACAAGATAGATTTCATGGCAGACGGTCAG